GAGGTGTGCACGAGTGTGGGTGCTTGTGCAGCCCCCTGCGACCCCCGCTCACCCATCAAGCCCTCGGCTGGGTAGGGATGTGGCAAGGCCTCTGTGGGGGGGGGGTTGCGAGCACCTCCAAACCAGCCTTAAGACAGCCGTTCTTCAAAGGAGGATCAAGCCCCATGGCTGTGAGAATATATTCAGCTTTCTTCTGCCATCCAAGCGAGATTAATCATGATCTCAAAATGGAACCAATATCTGTTGCCGCCTCTTGAACAGCTGATTTCGTCGGTCTCCTCTGCTGCAGAATGGTGCTCCCCAGATGGACATTTGCCCAGAGAAGCAATTCCAGGGATGCCCAGGGCCTTCCTCCTTGTGCAGGGGGAGCAGCGCGCAGGTGGAGGAGGTGAACTTCCTTCCCCTCCTAGAGACAACAGCGGCCGTGCTTCCTCTACGGAGATTCTCCGTCATAGTTATCCCAAAGGTGCTTTTCCACGCGGGAACCAGACTTCCTTCAAAAGCCCCTTCGGGACAGCCGTGCTTTGTTTTAAAATTATAACCAGAAATTTGGGGCAGCACTGGAAGAATAATTGTCTCATTGTTTTTTCCTTCTCTTTATTGAGGCTCCTTTGTTCATTGAAATTCACCCAGGGTGCATCTCTCTCCTGTCTGCGATGTGTTTCTGAGCCCAGAGGGCCCCGGCCACCCCGACAGAAGGCGAGAGAGGGGCCCTTCGCCTTTTTCATTGCAGGGAGACGCTGAAGCGAAAAGACTGGATCCCTCCGTCTCTCTGACCTCGTGCTGCCATCTCTCTGACCATCCCATCTGCCCTGAAATCGCAGCTGTTCCCAACCGGGAAACAAACATTGATTGTCCTGCCTTGCTGGAAAATAGCAAATTAGAAGCAAGTCACAGCAAAGGACTTGTGGGCATCAAAGCCTTGGATGAAAATACTGGGGGGAAATAAGGTTCCTGCTAAGGGACGAATAAACTGCAGCTGGGAGTAAACACAATTTACCTAAACTGAGTCAGAGCAAATGTAAATGAGACACAAGACCACTCTGGCTAAGCTAAAATTTGGACCTGATGAACTGTATTTCAATTGTCTTTAAATTTCTTTTATTCCAATGAGGTATGGGAAGTCCCCACTACCAAATTTCTTTCAGAGTTTCAACATTTCTAAGATTGGCTGTGTCCTTTAGGTGTCCCTCTAAACAATAAAAGTACAGAGAGGACATCTCCAGACAAAGATTTGTTATCATTTTTGATTTCAAAAAATGTAGAGCTGATCTGCATTTTATTCCTTAACAGATGCTGGGGGAAAGAAAGGAAGTAGGCTCCACAGTGAGAAGATTTTAAGTGGAAGAGTTTTCTGGACCTCTGTAAAATCCTGCGAAGGAGGCCGAGGGGCTGCCCCAGACAAGCTCTCTCTGGAAGCCCCCCCCCCCAGACTTCCTGAGATGACGGCAGTCCGGTGGCTCATCCTAAGCTCTACCTCCGCACCCAATTCTCAGAGCCAGCTCCCAGGCAACAATCTTAGCTTGTTTTTAAAAGGTTCCCATGAGAGCAAGGTGCAGGTAACAGAACAACAGAGTTGGAAGGGACCTTGGAGGTCATCTAGTCCAACCCCCTGCTTAGGCAGGAAACCCATACCATTTCAGACATCTTCTTAAAAACTTCCAGTGTTGGAGCATTCACAACTTCTGGAGGCAAAGCTGTTCCACTGATAATTGTTTAGATGTGGGCAACCTGCATTTGCCCACTTTCTACACAGCAACTGCTCATCGAAAGCCTAATTTCGAGTGATGGTTTTGAGCGTGCAGATGTTTCTCCACCACAAAAGCTAAGTTTCCTAAACCCTCAGAGATGTTCCCAGACGTAAACTTTCCTTAAGTGAAGGACACAGAGAATCAGCTCCCAGACCTTTTTGCCACTAGCCAGGCACTCTCTCAGCACCAGCCTTTTGGGACGAAAAAGCAAGTCAACAGCAGCCATAATATCAATAAGATCTGAGGTTAAAAACCTTCCAACAGAGAGTGAAGGGCATCCATCCAAATTGAACTGAGCGGAGGATTGGATCCAGTGTTTCTTAACCTTGACGATTTTAAGGCATGTGGACTTCAACTCCCAGAATTCCACAGCCAGCATTGCTTCTAGTATGCAAGATGTGCATACTAGAAGCAAACGTGATCCTCAAGATCCCTTTCAAACGTTACGGCTAAGCTAAGCTAAGCCCAGCATCTGTGCGCCCTTCCTCTGGCTGAACCGATCTCTGCCTCTTAAGGTAGCTGCCATCCAATCCGACCCAACCCAGCCATTTGGGGCCCTGTTTATAACTTTTCCCCAGTGGAAGTCCATCCTGCGTGATCCACTCCCATCTCCTGGGAGAGCAGAAAAGGCACTTCCGAAGCTCTGAGCAGGGCAGGGTCAGGCAGGAGCAGCCACAAGCACCACCCGGTTATTTAGTCGAGGCCCTGCCAGGAAGAGCTGGCCCCTTCTCGACCCTGGACCTCACAGCCTCAAGCCCACCCGCTGGATCTGCAACGGGGGCTCGACTTGGAGGTCCAACGGGCTGGCCGTAAAGCCAGCGGCTCTTGGAAGAAAGAAAGAGCCCCCAGCAGAGAGGGACTGGCAACTGGCTGAAGAGATGGGAAGGAAAATGGCTGATGGGGAAGCCTAAGAGGCTTGAGGAGAGAGAGAGAGAGAGGGCAACTCGCAGGCAGCTTTCCCGCGATGGGCCCACTCTGGCCTTGGCAGCCGCACCACTGCCCTGCCTGCTGCTGCGGGCAACAACAACAGGAGCAGGAGGAGCAGCAGCAGCAGCAGCAGGAGACCACCAACTCCTACGCGAAGGAGGACAGGCAACGAAATGCGACCGGGAGCCTCGGAGTCAAGCATTCCCCCCCCCACACACACCGCCTCCATTCCTGCTTCCTCCCCGCGCCCCCCCAGCCCCAGCTATGCCAGGCAGAAGGCTCAGCAGCAGCAGCAGCAGCAGCAGCAGTGGCGGGAGCAGCAGCAGCCGCCCGCCTTAGACTGTACCTTCCGTGTGGTGGCAGCCTGTTTCATGGTTGCAGAAGGGAAGGAAGGAGCAGACAGAGGAGAGGAGAGAAGAAGGGAGAAGAGAAGCAGACAGAAGATTAAACCATTCAGTCAGTCACAACACCACAGCCCCTCCCGGAGAGCCTGCTGCAAAGGGTGCAGCCCCGTCTCGCTTCCGGAGCCTCCTGGATCCCAGACTGATTCCTGGGGCTGGACAGCCGGGGAGCATCGGAGCAGCAGCCAGAGCCACGGGCAGGGGGGGGAGGGCGGCACATCCCCTCCACCGGCAGCCTCCAACCACCGCCCTGGATGCCGATTACATCACCACGCCAGAGCCCTCCCCTCCCCTCCCTTCCCCTCCCTTGCAGGCGACTCCTAGATCCAGAGCTACGCTGGTGGTGGCAACGGCCGCTGCACCAGAGATGGGCCAGGCTCCTTTCCCCAGAGGAGGAGGACGGGTGGGGGGAGGAGGTGGATGTGCACCTGGAGCTCGGTTGTCTCCCTCCCCCCACCCCCTCCCCACAGGACTCCCTCCAGAGGCTCAGAGGAGCCTCCTTCCTTGCAGGGTGGGTGCAAAAATGCCCCCAGTATTATCCTTCTTCCCCTTCACACGTGTGACATCTCCGTCCAAGGCTGCAGTGGGGCTGTACCTCTATGGGGGGGTTCTAGTGGGATCCCCCCGCCCCCCCAGATGAGAGCCTGGCCTTCTGGGAAGGAGAAGGATTGCCGGGCTTGCAACGATGCCCCTCAGGAGCCCCCCTATTAACTGTTGGGGGGCCCTACAGGATTACGTCTTTGTTTCTACCTGGAGTAGTAACTAGCTCTTGGTAGAATATCAAGGGCCAGTGGAAAACTCCCAAGATCGTGGCATGTGGCCACCTTGCCCACGCTCTTCCTTCCTCTGGGAAGCCCACCTTTCACGGGGGGGGGCACTGCTTTCAGATGCAGGCTCACGCTGCCCCACGCCTCACCCAGGCAGGCGCCCCAGCCAGAGGGGGTAACCTGTTCCGGCTTTTTGCACCTGAGGAGGGGGCTGCTTTGGGGGACGGCCAGGGAACCCATGGAGCACATCAACAAGGCCAAGCAGACTGACAGGGATCGAGAGGGGCCACAAGCACCAGGCCAGGAGCCTCAGGGGCTGCTCTGTGGCGAACTTCTGGCGTGTTCGCCCCAAAAGAAGAGCCCCCCTCCAACAAACTGAAGTCCCAGCTGCCCAAGGTCGTGGCCTGGCAGCTCCTGCCGCCTTCAGGGTCCCTGCAGAGTCCTCCAACAGAAAACAAGCTGGCACGGGCCGCAGAGAGGGCATCCCCCGGGTTCTGCCCCCAAGGCCCCTCCCCCCCCCACAGGGTGCCCTGGCCCTGCGTTCGGGGTCTTCTCTGGGAGGCCATTAAAGGGGGGGGGAGAGCAAGTGGCTCTTGAGCAGGGAGACCAGCAGATCTCGGTACGGATCGCCAAACTGGGCGTCTCTGAAGGGGACACGCTGGAGGGCTGGACCAGGAGAAACTGGGGGGGGGGCTTTCCCATAAGCCCCTTCCCCAAACACCCCTTGGTGCTTTCAGGCGTATCTCCTCAGCCCCAAGATACGAAAAACTGGCCATTGGGCTGAAAATAAAAAGGGAACGGCCTCTTCAATTTTGCTGCACAAATAAAAATGCTCGCGGAGAACAGGGAGTCCTTAACCACAGCCACAATTCAGCCCCAAATTTATGTTGCTAAGCGAGACATTTGTTAACTGGGCTTTGCCCCATTTTACGACCTTTCTTGCCATAAGTGAATCACTCCAGTTGTTAAGTTAGACACCTGGTTGTTAAGTGGATCTGGCTTCCCCTGCTGACTTGGCTTGTTAGAACAGTGTTTCTCAACCTTGACCATTTTAAGGCATGTGGACTTCAACTCCCAGAATTCCACAGCCAGCAATGCTGGCTGTGGAATTCTGGGAGTTGAAGTCCACATGCCTTAAAATGGTCAAGGTTGAGAAACACTGTGTTAGAAGGTCTGAAAGGGGATCACGTGACACCCCTGCCCTGGATGCTGCGACCGTCATAAATATGAGTCAGTTGCCAAGTGTCTAAATTTTGATCACGTGACCCTGGGGATGAGGGAAGGGCCGTGAGTGTGAAAAACGTTCACAAGTCACTTTTTCCGGTGATGTTGGAACGGTCACTAAATGGGCTGTTGTAAGTCAGGGACTGCCTGCGCCCCCAGAGATCTTTCAGGAGCCACAATTAAAGCCGTGTGTGGTGCTTGGCCTGACGGGCAGCAGCCTCCCCTACTTCCCCCGGGGGAAATGTGGCCCTGGACGGAGGCTGCTCCCGCTCTGGGGGAAAAGGGTGCCCAGCCCTCCTGCGCACGCATGCACGGCTTCCGTGCTCTGGGAGGCCTAAACTTAGTGACGGTAACCTTTCAAGCCCTCAAGTCCTCCGAGCCCAGCTTTCTACAGAAGCAAGAAAACTCAGAGGAACTCAGAGGAACCGGGGTCTACGTTAGGAACACTAAAACGGGAAAGAGAGTGAGATTCCCCTGGTTATCGGCCCAGGCGGGCACAGCCAGGACTGACCCGCAGGACGGACGGAGGGCCGTTGGAGCAGCAGCCGCCACCGAGGCTGAGCTGGGGGGAGGAGAGGGGAGGCCAGGCCCCACGGAGGCCCCTCCCCAGAGAGGCTGCTGCTTGGAAACAAGGCCCATTAGATGCAGGGGGGGAGAAGGGGGGGTGACACATTATTCCACACTAGAGGGGGGAAGCTGGGGGAGGAGACACCCAACAGACAGGGCAAGCCGTTGTCCAGGCCCTCTGCCTGTCTACTCCAAAGCAGTTCATTCTTAGAGAGCCCCCCCCTGCCCTCCCCCCTCCTGGCGAATGGCTCTGGTCTGCCGGGAAGGGCCAGGAGACAAGCGGGGAGAAAAAACAGGCCTCTTTCCCTGCACAGGCTTGCCCGCCTCTTCCCCAGGGATCCGATTAGTGCAAATTACGGGGCAGAGCGAGGAGGGAACCACCTGAGCACCCGACGGAGGCCCCTTCCTGGCCCCCAAGATCGATCGGGGCACCCCAAAAGGGGAGATCGGGGTTCCTGCTTGGAAACAGGCCTTCCTGCGGCCTCAGGTCTGGGGGTGACTCCTGTCAGGATGGTAACTGCGGGGTCGGAGAACGAAAGCCCTTTGCGTAATTAAATGGCTGAAGGTTTGTAAGACCGCCAAACGCCCAAGAGGTCGGTTTTCTCACCAAAGTTGTGACCTTGTGAGACGTTGGCCCCCTAAAAATCACCTGTGTTCATTTTGACACTCGTGTTCCACAGGCCAACCCTTCAGCCTCCACCACCCGCTCCCCGACTTCCTTAAGCCACGGGCAAGCAGGCGGGGCTGAGCACCCAAGGACCCTCCCAGAGAAACATGAACCCGGGCCGGGGAGAGGAGGCGGCGGACTTTGCAGGCTCCTGGGCAGCCCATCAGCACCTGCGCCTCTCCCAGACCGGAAGACAGATGGCGGCAGGACCAGAAAGGGAGGGCCAAGGGGGGGGAGGAGGAGGGAGGGAGGGGGCCTTCCCCCCCCCCACAGCCATCTGTCACCCACAAGACAGCCGGAGGCACCAACTAATCCAATCAGCCACTTGCCTGGACCGAGAGACGGCTCCCAAGAGCCCCTGGACCCCTTCCTCGGAGGGACAAGTTGGACTGGGCTTGGTTTGGGTAACATGGGGAGGGGGTTGCCCTGAGGCGAAGGACAAAGACTCCTGGAGCCCCTCCCAGACTTGCTTTCCCTCCTGGGGTGCACTCCCAGGGGCACCAACCGCCAGCCAGCTGTCAGGCAAGCCGAGACCTGTTGCCAGAAGCCAAACAGGGGAGACGTCACTGCACACTGGGGGGGGCGGGGGGGTCTGCCAGGCACTCCTCAAGGTGGACAACGACAGAGCCAGGACCAGGTTCGGGCCTCATGCAAAGCCACAGCGATGGATGGAGGGCGGTTCTGCAAGCAGCGGGGCGCAAGCAAGCGAGGCATGCAAGCCGAGGCCTCAGACACATGCAGCGGGAAGGAAGCGGAGCTGGAAGGAGGCGGCGGTTCTCCCCGACCCGCTGAGTTCGGGGCTTTGCAGCTGGTGTAGCCTGCTGTGTCTCGGGACCGGGAAGAAGGACCCCCCTCCCCCTGGAAACAGGTAGGGCCTCTCTTGGGGCGGCTAGAGAGAGGGGAGGGGGGATTCGCCTGGCGGGTGCTTTTGCTCGTACCTGAGACAGTGCTGGGACTTTCTGCTGGGGTGTGTGGGCTGAGCAGCCCAGCCTCCCCCCCCCCCCAAGCCACTCTCAGCCTCTGCTTGTCCTGCACTACCCAGAGCAGCCACCCAAGAGCAGGGACCACCTAAGGGCTCCTTTTCTTACTGGGCAGCGTGAAGGAGGCTTCGGACCCCTTTGCCCAATTCTCCTCCAGTGGCATCTTCACAACGCCACCCCCCCCCCAGCCCAGCAGTGCAAAGCCCGTCCTGCCTACCGCTGCTTGGGCAGAACGGTGGATGGAGATCCCGGCGCAGGGGCTCCCAGCCTGGCAACTTGTAAGACCCCCAAATCCCAGGCAGCAACAAATTGTGGGAATTGGCAGTCCACGCCTTAAAGTTGCCCAGTTGGGAGACCCCTGCCCCAGAAGACAGTGAAAGGGCTGATTTGGGGGGGGGAGACGATCTCAATCCTCATAGCTATAACCCTTGGCCAGCCCTTGCCTCAGGGAGGCAGCCCAGCCCCTGCCTCGGGAAAGCTGTCCCTGCTACGGCCCCCACAGCGGCAGACCAGCCGGGGGAAGGGGCCGCTGCTCTCCCCAAACTGCTGTGGGGGGTAGCAGTGCAAAGGGGTGCTGACGATGCTCTTCCCCCTCCGCTAAGGCCTCTCACGGCTAAGCCAGGTGGGGGGGCGGAGGTGGGGGCACCCGGGTTTACAGCTTTCTTTGCGGCTGCCAGAAACCCAAAGCAAGCAGGATTGACAATTGGCAGCCTCTTTACGGGCAACGCTAAGCTGCCGAGGGGGACATGGCCCGGTGTTCCAGGAAGCCCTGAGCCAGTCAGGGACCCCGTCGGACCCCTCGGGTGCCCTAACGGGAACATCCATGCAAGGGGGATGCATGCGTGGATGCAGCAGCTGAGGCCACGACAGCCACCAGGGTGGCCTTTTGCACAACTGTTTCATGCGCACGAGAAAAAATAGGCACCACCTTTTTAGGTTTCACTCCGCGCTGCATAGTAGAAAGAGGACAAAGGGTCAGGTTAGATCAGGGGTGGGGGACCCGGGGGGCTCACAAACCAGTGGCTCCAAACGGAAAGATGCTCCAGGTGTTCCAGCTTTGAGGATGTTTTGTGGGCCTCTGGGCCACCCCCACCTGCCCCTGCCCCAGGTCAAGGGCAGAACCGAAGCCCAGAGGGAAAGAGCCCCCTTTAGTGGTCACAGCTCACCCACCCTTTCCGGGACCCCCATTCCCCACCACCGCCGAGGCCGGAGCCTGCTTCGCTCCCGGGCCGCAGAGGGTAGGGCAAGGCAAGGCCCCAATTTGTCCCCGGACAGGAGACTCAGAAGTGATGCTGCCCCCCTGGCCTCCCCCAGACTAAGCAAGGCCAGAAGTGCTCCTGGTGCTCTTGGACGCTGCCATGTGACGCCTCCCCCCCCCAGCACAACCCAAAGCCCAGCGGAGCAACGTCATCCAGTCAGAACGGGAAGAGCGTTGCGTGTTTGTGGATTTGTTTACAATACATCAACCCTCTTTCCCTTTCCCCAAGCTCCAATTCCAATTTTGCCCCCAAAGGGAGAAACCCCGAAGGCAATCCACACAAATCCTGATTGCTTTGTGGGAAATTATTTCAGCTTTTTACTTGTATGGATTCAGAAAAACGCTTTTTTTCTGACTGACTACGGACCATCTGGTGGTTCCGTTTTGTCCCCACTGTGCCACATTCACCCAGGCAAATGCCACCCAAAGAGGGGACGGTCCGGCTGCCCTCTTTGCCTCTTTCATTTCTGTTCCGCGACTGCAGAATTATTGCAGAGGCGGCTGGGAGCGCTTCCCAAAGGAAACCCTTTCCAGGGGGGAGGGAGGGAGGGAGGGAGGGGCGGACCTGGCCGTGGAAAGGAAGCTTCAAGAGCCCTTTGAGTCTGGATTGGGTTGGGGGGGGGATGATGAAGGGGCGCTCAGATCTGGGCAGGGACCCCACGGGGACTGGCTCTGACCGTGACCTGGGATCCCAGCATTAAGGATCTTGGCCATTTTCTCACCCCTTCGTAGGCTGGGCAGGGAGCAAAGGCCTGGCCAGAGCAGAGAGAACCAAGCTGATCTTGTTGGCAGAGAGGAGGGGCCCCAAGGAGGGGCGGCAGAAGTCAGGGGGGGGGGACCAGCTCCGAAGAAGAAGGCCAAGAGGAGCAGCTGCATCCCTGCAGCGCTAAATGGAGGGAACCAGCCTGGCTGGGTGACGGAGAGGAGAAGGACAAGAGGCCCCTTGGTGGCCAGAGAGAGAACCGGGAGCCGGACCTGCTGGCTGAGCCTGGAGACGGTGGCTGTCAGCTGCCTATCGGCCTTATCCCGGGGACAGTTTGCAAGGATGGATAGAGCCATAAAAATATAAAAGAAAAAAGAGAAAGTCTAACCCAGTGGTTCTCAACCTTTTTAATGCCGCGACCCCCAACCGATCATAAGTCGAGGACTACTCAACCGGTCGTAAGTCGAGGACTACTCAACTGTCGCAGCACCGTTTGCAGAATGGGACTTTTGGCGGGCTCAGCAGGGCAGAGACAGCCTGGACAACCCCTATTGGCTTTGGAAAGCCAATAGAATTAGACTCTATTCAAGGGAGTCTATTCTATTGGCTTTCAAAAGCCAATAGAATAAAAGGGAGTAGCACAGCTAAGGAAAAGGGGGGAAAAAATGGCGGACTTCGTTGTTTGGCGACCCCCGTGAAATGGTCATTCGACCCCAAATGGGGTCCCGACCCACAGGCTGAGAACCACTGCTCTAACACTGGGCTCTTCCAGGGGGACGTAAAAGGACTCTGACTTTGGCTGGCACAAGGCGTCGGGGCACAAGGCTGGCAGAAGGAGCGACTGCCACAGGGCAGCGGCTTCATACCACCCCCCGAGCTTACGGGGAACCAAGCAGCGGCGCAGACTTTCCAGATTCTTCCACGGCAACCGGCCAGTTGTTTCCATCGGGGGCTGATGGAGAGTCAGCTGCCCCGCTAGAGCTGAGCACGCCGGGCAGAGGTGGCTGATCCCTCGGGGTGGCGTGTTTCAGGGCCACGGTGGCCACAACGGAGTCAGGGCCAAGGGTGCCTCAGGTGAAGAAGGCCCCCCTCCCTCCCCACGACGTGCAGAGAGCCCAACTGCAAAACACCAGATTTTTCCTTTGCAATGAACCTCGGGTGACCTCAAATGATGATACGGCAGATATGAACCACTCACCAGTTTGCTGGCTTTGGGACCTTCTGAAGAATCTGGAGGGGAAAATCAAAATAACCACATTTTTGAAAATGGTTTGATTGGGGGAGGTGGGTGATGTATTTCCTCATAAAAAGCTATACTCCACCTGTTAGTCTGCCTTTTAGGAGCTTCTGGGGAATTCTCTGAGCTCGTGTGGAAAAATAGCTTTGAAGCAGGAAGTCCGCTATCTCGGACCCTGCAGGTTCTCCCCCTCCCCCCCCCAGCCCTTCATGCCGTCCATATTTAGAAACGGGCCTTGGGGTCCCGACCGGGAATGGCGGAAGGCTTAAGCCAGTGTTTCTCAACCTTGACAATTTTAAGGCGTGTGGACTTCAACTCCCAGAATTCCACAGCCAGCAATGCTGGCTGTGGAATTCTGGGAGTTGAAGTCCACACGCCTTAAAATTGTCAAGGTTGAGAAACACTGGCTTAAACTAACATGTGTGCAAGTCAGTTTGTGCCTTAAAGTTCTGGGGTGCTCTTCGTTCCCCTACTGTCCTATTAGCAACGTTTCGTCTGATACTCAGACATTTTCTTTATTATTTCTTTTGATTTATTATGATTATTAGTTTCCCCCCCCTTCGACGCAGGCCAAACCACCAAGGGAATCAAAGTGGAGCCCTTGCAGGGCCCAGCAAGGAGCGGAAAAGGGAAGCTGTTTCCCCAGCTCTGCTCCTTACACGTCAGGCTCCGAGTCAGGGCTGGCTGGGACGGGGGCACGGGGCCCTTCCTCTTGGGGCACCCACGGTGACCGAGGAGGCGGGCAGGCTGGCCCGTGGCCTTGGGGATCAAGCTCTGCTTCTCCTGCCGTCTGAGCCACTGAGCAGCTATCAGGCCCTCTGCAGCCCCCCCCCCCATTGGCAGCTGTGGAAGCCTGCAGAGGCCTGTATTGTATGTGGCGGTTTCCAGGGAAACCCTCCAGCAGAGAGCGATGAGGGGGGGGCTTCCAGGGAGCCAAACCTCCTGCAAAATCAAACACCTGGATGCTGCTTCCCTGCCGCCATCTTTCTTGCATGCCAGCTCCTCTCTGTTCACCCTCCTTAAGAGCCACCTCACCCACCTCCTGCTCCACACCTGAAAACCACCTGCTCTTCCAAGCCTGACGTGGACCCTTCTCCGTCCCTTGGGCCAGCTTCCCCCCCCCCACGGGTGGCCCCGGGGGTCCCAGCTCCGCCATCCCGGGCTCCCCTGCGACTGAGCAGATCCGTGGAGGGCCTCTCCTCGGCCACCAAGGACATCGAGCTGCTCAGCCTCTCCCCCTTGAGCACTGGGGGGCTTCTGGAATGCCCCCACCAGCCACCTGCCGGAAGCCCCGTGAAGGGCAGCCCCTTGTGAGCAGAACTTTTGCGGGGTCTCCTCCACTGCTCCTCTTGGAGGGCAAGGCCCGGCCACCCAGAGAGGCGAAGGGCCACCTTCCCGGAAGGAGTCTGGCCCCCTTTCGTGGGGCTCTTCACCAGCAGCCTCTTTTATCCCCGTGTAAACCACTCTGAGGGGAATTAGGCTCAAGAACGGCGGCCCACAAGACGGGAGGCCACCCCCGCTTTCCAAAGGAAGAGACAAATAGGTTAGGGCAGCAGAGCCATTTTCCAGCGCAAATGGCCCATATACCGTACATAGGCAGGGGAAGTCCTCAGGCCCCAAGAAGGCCGAAAAAGCTGGAGGCCCTACCTCTCTTGGGGACCCTGGATGCCGAGGCCTCCGGGGTTTCTGG